TTAATTTTCATTTTTGAGAAGTCACTGACTTTACATTCACCTTGAATGTGATGCTGTCATCAGATCTGGCTGTTTTTAGGAATCTCCAAAGATCCTTAAAGGAAGAAAGAAGATCTGGAAACTACTTTAAGTATTTGTAAAAGCCTGTTTTTAGTAAAGCTTTAATGGTTAATAATAAATATCTTGTTTTTGGGCTCTCCTTGGTGGCGCAACGGGTTAAAGCACCACATTATGACGCTCTTTGCAGCCAGTGCAGTACGAGTTCGATTCCTGGCCAGGGAGGTGACCCACATGACTCTCTCCTGACTTACCTGCTACTCTCCTCAGTAGTGTACTTCAGTAGATCTGCCTGTTCTGCTCCCTCCTCTGTCTTTGGTGAATCTTCTCACCCACCACACCTCTGGCCTATACCCCCAAGTTCTGTAAGCATAAATAGATCTTTAAAAAATAATAATAAATACCTTGTTTTTAATATTAAAAAAAAATAGCATCCTCAACTCTACACTGCCACCAGCAGTCTCCATAACCTCATCCTTTCTGTGGTCATCAGAACACTGATGATCTGAAACCAACTTTATTGAGGTTGCTGTCACTTATCAGCTTATCAGATCCACTAAGGAAATAACACATTTGCTGGGTAATGCCATCATCCCAGGGCTCAAAACTCAGCAGTCATACAAGAATGTCTCCGGGGTGTGGCTGTGAGCCGCAGCATCTGGATCACCCCAAAACTACACAGAAATATGACAAGAGGCTTCTTAAAAATCTTATTTCAGTATACTTGGGGGCTTAGTTATTTATTGCAGGTCAGGGTCTCAATTTCCTCATCTCTGATACAGACAGTTGGAAGTGGGCTGGACTAGCTCTTATGCTTGCTTTCTTTCTTTGAATTTTGCTAATTTCAGTGTGTGATTCTGTCTTTCAAGGATCCCAGTCTTCTCAGATTCCAAATGTGAATAAATGCACACAGATAGTTCTTAAAGATGTGGAGCATTTATGAGATGACTGTAATGATTAATCTTGTTCTTTTTTATTACTTTAGAGAAAAAAAGTCCTGATTTAGTTATAAGTCTGCTTTAGAAAAGCTTCAGTTTATTTAAAGAATAAGAGATGTGTGGGGTGCATTGATGCTGCAGCTCAGAATCGTGAGCTCCTCCTCCTCGTGCTCCTCCTCCTCATGCTTCTCCTCAGGCAGAGTGTGAACGACAGGTTTCGTCGGTCTCGTGGGGAGAGGCAGTTGCCCTTCTGTTCTCTCACAGGCCCCAAACCTATAGGAGCAGGAAGTTAATTATCACCTCCTTGGACGCTTGGAACCACCTCTTGTCTTGAAAGGCCTGTCCTCACGCTGGTCCTTACACAGGAAGAGACAATTATTTCCTTAGCTCCATGTCACTGTGTTGTGCATAGGGGCCTGCCATAATTGAACTTTGATCACGGGACTCAAATAGAAACCAATGTGAAGAGATGTGTTGGCTGAGGCAGCTCCCAGGCCCCCTACTTGGTGGTTATAATGAAAGTGGGCATCCACTCTGTGCTGAGTCCCTGTGGAGCTGGGCGGCTCTAGCAAAGGCCCCAGCACGGAGCCTTTGTCAAGATCAGACTCTCCAGAGAGAAGAGCGATCTCATACATGAAACACCTCCATTCCACAGGGATTCTCTCATCCCATCAGGAAATCAGCTGCAATGAGGCTGAGAGGAAGTGGGCTTGAAAGGTCTAGACCTGTGCACTGAGTCCTGGGAGGATGTGAAGGAAGATATCTGACAAGATGGAAGTTGCAAAGCATTTATCAGGACAAAGGGAATTCTCTTTTTCACCTGAGGTGGAAACTCACCCCCAGGGGTTGACTTCATACTGTGCACTAGGCCAAGTGATTCGCTTTCTGTATCATGTTATTTTGACAACATACATGAAGCAGGGTTTTGTTTTTAAATTGCCATAAAAAGCGCTCTTTAAAGAGAGGAGCAATTTTCCCCAAAGTCACATAATCAGTAGCTAGAGGTAAGATGTTTTGATTTTCTTTTGTTGTGTAACAAGCCATTATCTGAATATTTCTCCAAGGACATGCCATTGACCAATGGACACATGAAAAAATGTACTCATATTATTGGGGGGAATATACATTGAAACAATAATGAGATATTATTTGTCACCCATAGGAATGTTTACAATCAAAAAAGAGAAGAAATAAGTATTGGAGAGGATGTGGAGATATGAGAATCCTTGGGGGAAAGTAAGTTGGTACAGTCATTGTGGAAAGCAGTATGGAGATTTCTGAAAAATTAAAATTTGAATTTTATACTATTGAGCTATTTTACTTGTGGCTCTTTATTGAAAAAATGCAAAAGCACTAATTTGGAGATCTATGTACTCTTAATGCCCACTGCAGTTTTACCTATAAAAGCTAAGAGCTGGAAACAACGTTAAGTACCCACTTAAAGGTGACTGGATAAAGATGTGATATGTACACACAGTGGAATACTACTCAGCTTAAAAAAAAACATGAAAGCTACCTCTTACAACAACATGAATAGACCTAGAGAACAGAGTACTTAGTAAAATAAATCAAATGGAGAAAGACAAACACTGTGTAATTTCACTCATACAGAGTACATAAAGACATAAAACAAATGACTGAACTCGTTAAACAAAATTAAACTTAAAAAAGAAAACCATTTATGCTTCTGTGGGTCAAGATGATGGACTCTGTTCCACAGGGACTTCAATGATTATAGGTGCTTGTGGAGTGGGCTATCTGCAAGGTGGAGTTTACTGAAACTTTTGCTACCAACACACACCTGTGCTTTTTACCTGTGGCTTACACTTATTTCAACAGGGTGTCTGGTTTCTGGGGGAAGAGACTCAAGAGGGACCATCAGAGAACGGGCATTCCTGATGACCAAAGCAGGAGCTGAATGCTCATTCCTGACCTAGCATTTCACCTGGCATCATCTCCTCCCTACTCTCTGCTTGGACTAGTCACAAGTCAGTCCCATTTACATAGACTCCACCTCTCCGTGCAATGAGAACCAAAGTATTTACAGCTGTGTTTGAAAATCACCACACACTCTGTGATTCCAGGTCCCCTGACTTTGTAGTCGTTATCCTTCACATTAGACATTGTTGCTTGGATGTAAAAGATGATGTGGAAAAATTATTTAACCAATTTGAGTCTTTTACCTAACATCATCCACTTCTGTTCATAACAAGGTCTTGTATAGAAGGAGAGAAGCCAACAGGATTGGAAGAGTAAAGCTTTGAATGCCCCCAACCCCATAATCACTTATTAGGATTATTTGAGTGGAAGATCGGGGGTGGGGAGATGCCTTAGATAGTGTTTTAATGATCTATTTCTGCTTAAAATATCCCCAAACTGAGCAGCTTAAACAATCACTTAATGACATCTACAATGTCATGTGTTGACTAGGGCTCACCTGGCTGGTCCTGTTACTGTCTCTCTTGGGATTCTCATGCTCTTGCACTGAAATGGGGCTGGACTTACAGTGCTAGCTCCATGTGGTTTTATCTTCATGTGACCTCTTGTCCTCTGAGTCCTTTCCACATGTCCTCTCCCTTTACATGGTCACCCTTGGTCTCCAAGTGGAGATGTTGGAAGTGGTCAGGACTCCTCAGTGTCTGGACTTGTACATTTTAAGGTATTGCTTCCTCCAAATTCCAGTGGTCAAAGCAGTCACAAGGCTTAGCCAGCTTCAAGGGGCAGAGTACAGCTTTCATCTTTTGACAACTAAGCAGAGGTATTTGGGGCAATCTTTTAAACCCTAGCTCCAGGGCTCTCCCCTGGTTAACTCTTGGTGATGGGGAGATGTACAAGTCACCACTTCAGAAGACCCACTCCTGACAAGGAGTGGGTGATTGTTAAATTTGACTATCAGGGAAGCTAGCATTATTCTGAGCTCCCAAGGGTT